GATGCGAGCCCCCCATTGGTCCGCCACGTGGCTGCCGATTTACGGGCAGCCATTGGGCTCCTGTCGCCATCTAAAATTTACTGTACGGACGGTACTCACGACGAGACATCTGCCTTCGTGGCCAGTTTCACGTGTCCACGTGTATCCGTGAAGGCTTGCAGCCCGCATTTGCTTTTCCACTAACTTTAGAGTGGAGGACTCCTACGCAAATTCTGGGTTTACGCATCCAGCTTCTCAGTAAAGGAATTAACGATTTTCTAGATTTGTAATTCCTGAGAAGTCCTTTCCCGGAACAGTTTTTTCTGTACAGAGGACCGTACTCATTAGATATGTGGATCAGATACAATGTTTGTGGTAGACTCTCAATCTTTCAGTATGTTTAGAAGTATGTGCGTCAGAGACTCAGTCTTTTGGTTGGAAAACCGGCAACTGAGCAAAACGTGTACCAATGCGGGATATGCGAGCAATCAACAATTGTATGAGTTTACTGGCAGCAGTACGAATCTAAAACCGAGCTCATCAAGCGCTCAGAAACCGTCCGCCGAATCAACACCAAAAAAGCTCCCCAGAGTCCACTGCCGCCCCACCACCTACGTTTCGTTCCACAGCCCGCTTCTGGTGCTATCTGTACGGCGCCTGCGCACGTTTTCGCTTCCATACGTAAGTATCCGCTATTTCATGCAGGCGTTTCAAGTAGCGCTCGTACGTCTTACCATCAGCATCCCTGAGGGGATGCTATATGACATTAATGTTAGTTAAAGCAACCGTCATTCTAAAGATACGATCATACCCCTTTCTGCCCACCTATACTGGTTGGCAACGACAGCCCAAAGGGTACCCTGCCGACCGAAAAAATTCTCAGCATTTATTCTGTCTGCTTCCAATGCTGCATTTTCCCGTTTTTCAGACCGGGAGAGCACCCCCCCCCCCCCCACGAGGTTTCTTCTTAGGGATAATTGCACGTACCTCTGATTCCATGCATACATATCCCTTGTCCAAAAGGACTCCCCATCGATTAGAATATGATTCAGATCCCCGCCCAATGTTCGTAATTGCCAACTCCTCTCCCGGTTTCTCTAAAGCATCATCATGAAAATGAAGCATTTCCCTCATAATTTCGACATCGGAGACCGAGCCGGGATAGTGGTTGCTTACTGAGATTTCCAGGCCGTTGGAGAGCACATAGGCTTCTAATTTAAATCCGTAGAGCTTTTGCTTCCCAGAAAAAAAATCACTTCCTCGAGGGAACCTCCTGGTTTGTAACGTTGCTGAAAAGTTATGTCAGTGGCGTATCGACACATTTTAAAAGTTTTAAATGTATTTTTGTCCGCCAGAAGTCGTTGCATATCAAACGTTTCTGCGTACGATTCCACAAAGCGTGTATACAGAAAATCGAAGGTAATCGCTATCATACTCGTCACCCTTTTTTCAAATGTTGCTGGTTTCATCTCGAAGAGATATGCAATGAGTCCCACTTTGAGCCATGTTTAAGTACACATACCGACATAAAAAATAAATCCTTCGCCTTCATGGGGCTCTTGCTGCCCCTTCCCGTATTGTAGCGTGACGAGACTTGTTCTTGCACTTGATTCCATACCCCGTTAAATTCCCTCACTGTAAAGTTTGTCATACTTATCAATGCTCGATCTTCATCTTCCTTGATAAACTCGTCCATTTTCGGCCACTCACTTTCATCAGTTTGATCGTCATCAGACAGTTGAGGTGCGTCGTAGTAGCGCTCAAGCTCCTCCTGACGCAAGGCAGCTTGCTCCTCCAACAATTGGAGCGCTACGGCGGATGTGGGGGCAGAGCGTGAGGGCATAGTGACTGAGCTTGTGTTAAGCACGACGTCGAGCTCAATAAACAGGTGTGGTGTCAGGTAATAACAGGGGTTTGGTGGGCGTTGAGGAGTGTGGAGGAGGTGCGGTGGGGAAATGTGGAGGAGAGACAGAGGGTGAGGTGTGGACGGGTGTCGGTGGGGAGATGTGTAAGAGAAGCAGAGGGTGAGATGTGGAGGAGGGGTGTTGGGCAGACGTGGAAGTCAGACAGCGGATGAGGTGTGGAAGGGCAAGGTGTACAAAGGTGTCAGTGGGGAGATGTGGAAGAGAGGGAGAGTGTTAGGTGTAGAGAAGGGGCGTTGGGGAGACGTAGAAGAGAGGCAGAGGGTAAGGTGGTGAGGAGGGGTTTTGGGGAATGCGAGATAGGACGGCGGGGAAGTGCTGAGGAGGGACGTAGGATTAGGAAGGAGCGGCTTTTTATGCCCGATGAACGATATCAGCGCAGAGTAGTGCGGTGGAAGTTGGGTTCTTTCCAAAGAGGAGAGCCGTTTGACTGGAAATGTGGCTGTCCAGTGCGCAGTGGGGCTTCAGGCAGATTATATCATCTTTCGTGAGTCGGAGGGAGTTTGATGGGCGAGAGGGAGTTTTTCGGAGAAGATTTGATCGTCTTTGATCATGAACGGTCTTCTCAGAATTGCGCATCCAACACACAGTTAGCATGGTGGTCTCAAACGAGCTTTTTATGTTGCAAAAATTTAAATCTAGTACTTGTTACTCACACAGTACAGTTCTATTGAAGAAACACACAGTTTATTGTGTCGTTTCGGAATGCGTCAATGTTCTCCGGAGAGAACAAGGTATTCAACGTATTGCCGTCTAACTGCTCCCTCTGCCTATTAGTGTCGCCGCGTGCGAGACCCCAAAACTGACACTATTGGGAGACGGCATTCGTAAGTGACGTCGTCACATCTATTTTCATGCAATCGGTAATTAACGTCTGCCTGCTCCGCGTTGGGTCTCTGTCGTGTTTTCCAGTGAGAAACGCGCGCTTTGCCGACCTCAGATACGATAGAGCGTCTGAAACTTGGCATTCAGTGGCAAAAACCCTCCAGCTCTCTAAACAATTCTGCGATCTCAACCGCAGAGGGTACTGTCCTTCTCTCTCTCGTGTCCTCTGCGCTCCCATCTTCATCACTTGATTGCGTTGTAGTTAAGGTCTGTGTGTAGCTAAGGTCTGTGAACGCTGTTCGGTCAATAGGATCGGTCTTAGAAGCCGCCTTTACATCGTTGTGGGGTAAAGGTGGAGGCAGTTTGGTTTTTCTTTTCTTAGGCAGCGTGGTGTTCGGTGCGTGGTCTGGTTCCTTCCCCTCTCTCCCCTGCTCGTCTGCAGGGCCCGTCACCTTCTACGCTTTTATGGTCTCGTACAGAGTAAAGTCTCGGTACAGTGAAGCCTCTACAAAATGAACAGACTTCATGCAATGAACTGCCCAAGCAGTAGCAAGGCGCCACCCTCCCTATTTGGCCCAGATTGCTCACTTTGGCAGATCTGCAGTGAACTGGCGTCAGTAAAAAGAACTCTCCGTTACAAGGTACATTCGCCCTCTCACATATTCAACAATTCACTTTACCGAGACCTGAATAAAGCACTAGAAACTCGATGTCAACGCGTACAGAAATTGTCAATGCGACTTCGCTTAAGACCCTGACGCTGCATTTTTCGCACGCGCCTCAATTCCTCCAGCAGCAGCTACTTTAAATTTGAGGGAAGCTCTGAACGAATGAGTTCCGGCTCTGTCGTGACAGACTTCAGTTCCTCTCACAAAGCTACAATTGAATCACTATAGCGAGTGAGTGATGGTTTGCGGGAAGCCCTTTCTACAGCCGGCACAGTTTCTGCATCATCCTCGTCGGTGGCGTCACCGACAGCCTCATCCTCTACGTTCCTAACGGCCTCAAACTGCTCCAGCCCGAGCTCTACAGCTTGAGCGAGAGCAGCACCCTTCTTTGTTGCTTCATGAACTGGTATCGTACGCTCTGCATCCATCAAGTGCTGCATTTTCGCAACACCAACTCCATCGACCACGCCGGCATCACTCAGCTCCATTATTTCTCTAGACAGCAATTGATAGAATTTTCTGCCGCTCGTGCCCCATAATCCGTGTCCGTATCACTTTTTTCACCTTTTGCCTGTTGCTCTGCGCGTATGTACAACTCTCCGCCATAATATGCCGTTTTGGCAGATTTTTTACGAGCTTCTAGCACGGTTTCAGGTGCGTATGTAGCCGGAGCCCGCAGAGAGGCTCTCACGTTTCCCCGCCCTTCATTTCGGAGCTTAAAGATTTTTTGTCTTAGAAAAGAGGGAAGTATATCAGTCTTTAACCAAGCGTTCAGAACAACACTCTCCCGTACTAGGTCCCAAGCTTTAGACATTAATCTCACCGCATCGTACAAAGCCACGACTTTCCCAATGTCAAATGGCTCTCGTTCCGAGGTGTTTCGGCATATTTGCCCATCAATTGCGTCGAGAATATGCAGCACTAGTAAACGGCGGAAATCACAATTAAAGGATCTTCCGACGGCAGCATCGACGGGTTGTAGATGCGATGTCAAATTGGGAGGAAGAAAAGAGCACTTAAAGTTAGAAAATTCAGTGTACGTAATGTTATGAGGAGAACAAATACCGACAAGTTCAATAAACGTCTTTCCTTCCAGGCGAGCAAATTTGTCAAAACGCTTCACAAC